TTCGTTTTCAAGAACTAGTGTGCCGCTACGGAATTCCCCACACCCTCATTTCAGATAGGAAAGCAATTCGATAATGAGGAGTTCAAGCAGTTCTGCAACGAGCTGGGCATCCACAAGAAATTTGCCCAGTCGCCAGGCCGCAAGCGAATGGCCAAGTTGAAGCAGTCAACAAGACCACTCAGCACACTCTGAAGGCCAAGCTCGGAGCAGCCAAGGGAAATTGGGCTGACGACCTCCGAAGTTTTATGGGCGTACAGGACAACTCCAAGGACCTCCACCTCGGAAACCCCATTTTCATTAGCATATGGCTGTGAAGCCATGATCCCTGTCGAGGTCGGGACCGGTTCTCTGGAGGGACCTGTACAACGAGGACGACAAGAAGCATTTTGAGAGCAAGTTTGGATCTAATGAAGAACGTCGCAGCAAGGCTTCGCTAAGGATAGCAGCCTACCAGCAGCGAGCAAAAAGGTTCTTGACTCGAAGGTCAGGCGAAGAGACTTCCAGGTCGGAGACCTGGTGCTAAAGGAAGTTCTCCTCGGGGCCAGAGAGCCAAGTGCGGGGGGTGCTAGGGCCTAACATGGGAAGGCCCATACCGGATCGACAAAGTGATCAGACAGGGAGCTACCATCTCAAGAGATTGAACGGCTCCAAGGTACCCGAGCTTGGAACGCGAGCACCTTCGGCCATAATCAGTAATCCCAAACTCAGCTCGGTTTTTGATATTTATTCCTTTTCGAGCATTCTTTGTTACTTAAAACAGTTCGAATGTGTTCTGTTCGCATGTCAAAAATTTATAATGTAACTTATGTGAACCACAATTGTAAATAGTGCATCTTTATAAAAAGTAAACCTAAATGCAAAGAAAGTCATATACAAAAGTTTAAAGACTCGAGTACAAAAGGGAGCGACTCTCTAAACACAAGGCTGGTCGGAGGATCCTTCGAGCTGGAGCCACCAGCCTGGTCAGGCCCCTGGTCGGGTTCCTGGGCGGCCGCAGCAGCCTGGTCCTCCTCGGCCATGGTCCGCAAGGTCGCTGCCAGAGATTCGGCAGGTCGGAGAAGTCCAAATCGGGATTCTTTGCGCAAAGGAGTAGATGGCCCGATCGCCAGTCTGCGGCCTTCTCCTCCAACCCTGAGACTGATTCTGCATCTCCGAAGTCATTGCAGCGATCCTCTCCCGACTCTCATGAAGTTCGGATCAAGAGCCAGCCTTTCCTGTTCGAAGGCCCCATTAGCTTCTTCAGCTCGCTGAGCCGTTCGAAGGTCGCCCGCAGTTCTTGGTCCTTTTCGCTGACCTCTTGGTGAGACGGGCGGTCATCCTCTGAAGCTCTTTGATCTCCTGCACGACGGTCGAGCTCAGCCTTCTGGAAATCCACTGATCGCAAGGCGGCATCCTTTTGGTGCAGATACATGTCCGCCGCTTCGAACGCTTGTGCCCTTTCAGCTTCGACGGACTCCAAGCTCTGCTTCAGTTTGCGACCTCCTCTTCCAGGTGCGCTAGTCCCTTTGCGTCCCCAGACGCGTCTTCCCATGGACATCCTCATCGCAAGTAATCCCTGCGAGCAGAATATGGTTTAGAAACAAATCGGATTGGAATTTCCAAGTACGGTTAATTACCTTGCTCAGATGTGAAACGACGTAGCCAGCAGGTCGTCGCTCGTATCTGCAAATTCATTGTATGACTCCGATAGCTCGCAACGAGCAGGCCATAAACGATCGGCTGCAGGTACTCGGGTAGACTCCCAACGAATCTAGAACAGGTGCGTCCGTTGCAACTGCCTCGCCACAGGCTCTTACCCGACCTCCGAGACCCCTGACGCGACCTAAGAGGCTCTTCCTCTGATTCGGTTCCGACTCGTCAGGCCGAATTTGCTTTCTCTTTGACTTCTGGGCGGAGCCTTTCGCTTGGGGCGAGTAGTCGGTGCCTGAGCGGCCTGTCCCGACCTGGTGCCCTTGCGCAGCAGGGCGGGGCGGGGAGCTGGGACTGTTCGCACCGGCTGTGCCGGGACAGCACGAGCAGCGTCAGCCTCCCTCTTCCCTCGATCGGGGGAAGACAAACGGTGCTCGACGGGACTGCCCGGACTCCTTTGGGGGCATCGTTCCTGCATTCGAGGTCGTAGTAAACGAAATCACTCGACGACCAGAAAGAAACCAGCGACCTACCTGCTAGCGGTTCTAAAGACGCCTGGTCGCTGAAAAAAACCGTACTTCCGCAAGTTCGCGGTCGTTACAAGCTTCCTCGCGTCACGAATGTCTCGTCTAAAACTCCGAAGGAACGAGCCTATCGGGTCAGCGAGTAGCGACTGATGGGTCGTTCTGTTAAATGCAAAACAAATCAGGTCGTTATATGGATCAGGCGAGCAGATAATGAACTCGATAAGAAAAAACTACTTGGATCTTGAAAACGGCAATAGCCGTCGTATATGAAAAAGAAGAACTTAGACTCGTAGGCTCCGCATTGCTGGGGTAGCTATGTATCCCCGCGGCAATGGTAGGTCGCCGAGATAGGTAGTACGGTCCTATCCCTACTTCTTTGAGGTAGTAGGCGACACCGAGCTCTACCGCCGTTGGCTCCCCTAAGCCGCTCTCGCAGCACGCGATGTACATCGCGACAGCGATGACATACGCGTTTGCGTCAATTGCATCGGTGCGATCCCGAAATGATCCAGGACCGACCTGATGAAAGGATGGAAGGGAATCCCCCCCCACCCTTGAAGATCTCCTCTGAGATCGCGGCGAGGCCAGTGTCTGGGCGCCGCGACGGTCTGTATGGTTGCGAGGAACACTTCTGCGCGAATATCGTACTGCGTCTTTATTCATTATAATCCTCGGAAGTAAGAACCGAGTAAACATCAAGGGCTGCGTCCTCGGGACTTCCCGCGAGGACGAGTGGCTCCCTCCGGGTCTGGATGTGGACGGTTCCATTCCAGTCTGCAACATCGACAGACACGGTCGTTAGAGCCTTTGTGTTCGTCCCAAGTAACGACAGGAAGCCTAAAAATCTATCAACGATTCGAGCCGCCGTCCACGGCTCGAATCAAGGGCGGCGTCGTGTCTCCGGTGAAACGCCGAGAGACCCAACGCCACTATTCCACCAAAAAAAAAAAAAAAAAAAAAAAAGAAAGAAAAAAAAAAAAAAAAGAAGAAAGGGGAAAAGAGAAGAATATATACTCTCTGTGACGCGAAGTTGGGGCCGAAATCGTTTCGGTTGCCTGAAAAACGCGGTAGGGAGAAAATTGCTTCTGGCGTGCGAAGGTTTCTGTTTGAAGCGAAAGAACTTCGGTGGCCTCATCAGAGAAGTGAGTTTTATATGGGATGCGAACCAGCGGTTACCACCCTTTGGAACTGAAACGACAGCCCACTCTCCTCTCTCCGCATTAAATGCGCCCCACGTCGCATAACTGACGCAGTAATGGCCCTCGTTTCGGTTACGCTGCGCCACACGCTGCCAACGGTGCCAGCTCAGCACGCAGAGCATTTAATGTGCCTGACATGCTTTAGCGCGCGCAGACGCAAGGCAGCGTGAAACCAGGTTCGTTGAACCTGTACAGAGGATCGCCCCTCAGGTCCAGGTCGCTAAAGGTGGAGATGTCAGGTCGCTTCGACGAAGGAGCATGAGGTCGCGTTCACCAGAGGTCTGTACCGAGCTCTTCCCGTTCAGGTCGGAGCGAGTAAACTTCAACGAACTTAGTTTCAAGGTCCGACCTTCGAACCTTAAAACTAGGGGGCTTCTGTTATACCTAAGAAAATACAGGGCTGACGTGGGAAGAGTCACGTGAAGGGCGACCTGCTCCGTCAGGACAGCACGCACACGTCGACCTGCCAAGTGATGTGGAGCGCCACACGCGTCCATTCTCCTGCCACAAGTCGTGCGGTGTCAGCTTGGAAAAAGGGAAATGGGACATAAAGCCTGATTATACACTGAGAACACACCAAACTACGGATTTAGCAATGATTAACGCTTCGTCGTAAAAATAAGGAAGACCCCTTCATTAAGGGATTACTGCCATTGTACATACAAAAAAGAACAAATAGAAATCTCTCTCTCTTGTAAACCTTGCTTTGACTTTTTCGTCTGTTGTAAGTCAGCTCGCGACCGCGACCTGACATCCACTAATATCAATACAAATCAGTGGACGTAGGACTTGCTATCTCAGCGTCCGAACCACTTAAAAACCCCCTCTACAGCTATTTCACTTTTCTTATACTCTATTTCCACGTGCATCGAACAGTAAATTGATATTATCCACGTAAAAATTCGTTGGTGTTAAAACGAGCATCAACACTAAACATGCACTAAAATGTAACTCAATAACTGCAAATATATATGTAAAGTGAAAAATCTGGAATGAATTAATAGAGTATTTTCAGTGGGACGTGGGTCTGGTTCTTAACTCTTCCAGGAGTCGAAATATCTCGTTGAGAAAAGGTGAAAAGATTTTAATAGTTGCGGGTTTGAATAAAGGTTTCAGCGACTACGGACGTTGTGGACCCTGTGGACTGTGGTTCTGGAAAGAATCCTAAGCTTGGTTTATTTTTTAAACCCTTTTTAAGTTTTTTTCCTTTTTATCATTTGAGTGTCTAAGTTAGTTTATACATAACTCAATTAATTTTCTAAAATCTTAGAATTATTGATCAGATAAAAGTTTTAGTAACCACCCCTATTAGTATATAAAAGAACTCAAACTCGAAAGCTCATAAATCCTTTTAAGTTTTATTTTCATTTGATCCTTCATTAATTCCTATCTTAAAATAGAAAATGGGAATTCGGAACTCGGAAGGGTTACCTGATGATAAATACTAATGGTAGTGGAGGTGAATAACGATATTCTTCAAATTTAAGGGGTTTAAAAGAAATTAACCGTAAAGTATAAGCTGTAAACAGACTCAAACTAATCCAGATTAAAATAAGAAAGAAAAATGGGACACCTACTTTAGTTGGAGGCCAGTCTTATATAGACTGGCTGCCAAATCTGAATGCTCTGTGAAAACCTAATCTTCTTCTTGCGCGTGAATTTATATATACATATTTTTATCAAAGAGAATCTTCCTGGAGAGTTGCTTTCAATTTCATTCACCATCTATTCTTTTATTTATGTGCTGTAACAACACAAAGATCCACCGAGAATTTAGTTATACTATTAAGCTTGAAGGGGAATCTGAGAAGTCAAGTTGTCAAAACAAGGATGAAGTTTGGGAAGGAATATGCGGCACAAATGGTGCCAGAATGGCAGGAAGCATACATGAATTACGATAAATTAAAGACCCTTTTGAAGCAAATCCATCGCATGAAGCAGCGAAATAAACAAACTGCAAAACAAGCAAGCCTCAAGCGAGCTGTAACACTTTACCGAGCTTTCAGTGGTCTTCTTGTACAAAGACAGAAGTCGCAGAAAAATCCCAGGAGCCTCTCCAAGAAAGATGTAGAAGGCCAATTCATTCTTGTTAATCCTGTGAACAGAGATGGAACTGAGAGTTTTGAGACTACATTTCTTAAGCTTGCAGAGGAAGGAGGGGAGTCTGAGCAGGAGTTTTTCAGAATGCTGGATAATGAGTTCAATAAAGTTGATAAATTTTACAGGTTTAAGGTTCAAGAAGTTATTGCTGAGGCTGAAACTCTTAGTCAACAAATGGATGCGTTGCTTGCTTTCCGAATAAAAGTAAATAAGATGCCAAGAGTTCTTGTTTCTACTCCACCTGTGCCCGGAGAAAGCAAAAGTAAGTTGTTATAATGACATTAATATTGTAGATATTATTTCGAGGAATACTGAAACAGTCTATATGTATCTCTTGATTTATGGGCAGGATTTGTTCCCACTGATGTGAAGGAAGGTGAGGAGAGGAATCGGGAGCAATCAGATGAATCAAATGGAGAAATATCTGAAGAGGCGATAAATTCTGTCCCCCAGAAAAGTCAAGGTCAAAAGCAGAGCAGTAATAGGGGCTACAAAGATGTTCCATTGGAAATACTAAACCATGTGAAGCTTAACAAAAATCTTGATACTCCAAGTGCTTTCATTAAGGGTTTTGTTGGTTCTCCTCAGCAGCAGTCAGAGGTGAATGTTAGAAGGGAAAATCTTAAGAGAGTTGAGAAACAACTTAAGCACGCATTTGTGGAATTTTATAGCAAGATTCGCCATCTTAAGAGCTTCAGGTAATATTTTTTAAATCCATCATTTGATTTGTGTTTAAGATAAAAATTAATTTGTAATTTTTGTAATTTTTTGTTGCAATCGGAAACAGCTTCATGAATATGCTAGCGTTTTCAAAAATCATGAAGAAATACGATAAGGTATGTTACCTGAAAATAGCTTATTTCTATTTCATTTCGTGTTTAGTTTCATATTCACATAAATTTTTTTTCCTCACTGTTGCAGATCACTTCAAGAAAGGCATCAATTTCTTATATGAATATGGTGGATAACTCCTATATTGGCAGTTCTGATGAAGTAAGTTATTCATTGTTAAATTTATTTTCTATGGAAATGAATTTGACCCCTTTATAATTTATATCTGACATAAAACGTACCATATTTGAAGTTAACCAAGCTGATCGAGAGAGTAGAAGCTGCGTTCATCAAGCATTTCTCGAACTCAAACCGGAGCAAAGGCATGAACATTTTAAGACCAAAGGCTAAGAGAGAAAAACATAGGACAACATTTTCTCTTGGTGAGATTTCAAATTCATGACCTTCATTTAAATTCTAAGTGCTGCGGAACTGACATGATCTTCTTCTTGTTTCTTTTCACCTAACATTGTTAATTGGAAACTTTCCCAGGTCTCTTTGTTGGCTGTACATTTGCCCTTATACTAGCCCTTATCTTCATTATACACGCCCGTGATCTTTTGGATAAGAGAGGAAAAACCCAGTACATGGAAAATATGTTTCCCCTTTATAGGTAACAAAAATATTAACCATGCTGAATCTTCATCTTGTTTTGCAGAAAAGAGGAATATATGGATTTATTTGAAAAATCATGTTAAACTTTGATTTGCAGCTTCTTCGCTTTCATTGTTCTGCACATGCTAATGTATGCTGGCAATATATACTGCTGGCGGCGCTATCGAGTCAATTATCCCTTCATTTTTGGTTTCAAGAGGGGCACAGAGCTGAGCTACAGACAGGTTCTTCTTGTCAGCTTTGGTCTTGCAGTACTAGCTCTTCTCAGCGTGCTCGCAAATCTTGATATGGAAATGGACCCCGAAACAAATGATTATAAAGCCCTGACCGAGCTTCTTCCTCTAGGCGTGGTTGTGGTAAAGTCTTTCAACTTAGTTACACACTGTGTTAGCCCACCTAACTTCTGAAATATGCACTAAAACCAGTGTCGCGTCCTTCTTTCTATCTCCGCAGGTTGTAATTGTTCTATTGATCTGCCCATTCAACATCATATATCGCTCTAGTCGCTTCTTTTTTCTGATATGTATTTGGCACTGCATCTGTGCTCCTCTCTACAAGGTATAAACTTATCCAATTACTGACATTAGAGGAACTGAACACAAGTGAATCAGTATACTGATTATGCATATTTCTATACTGCAGGTCACACTACAAGATTTCTTCTTGGCGGATCAGTTAACTAGCCAGGTTTGTGAAGTGCTCTTTCCTGTGAATCAACCAGAAATGAAAATTCCTCAATTCCACATAATAAACAAGCTAATAAGAAAATTTGATTTGTTTCAGGTTCAAGCCTTTAGAAGTCTGGAATTCTACATCTGTTATTATGGTTGGGGAGACTATAAACGCAGAGAAAACACTTGTAAATCATATGGTATATACAATTCTTTCTATTTCATCGTTGCTGTGATTCCATACCTGAGTCGCTTCCTTCAGGTACATTCTGTAATCCATATTAGCCGAATTATACATAACAGTCTATAATATGCCTGATATTTGAGCATTGTCACTGATAATCCTTTCCCATTTGCAGTGCATGCGACGTCTCTGCGAAGAAAGAGATCCAATGCAGGGATATAATGGGCTGAAATACTTTGCGACAATTATTGCCATTAGTACAAGAACTGCTTACGGTCTATACACAGGAATGACCTGGAAAATAGTATCCGCGACATTTTCAGCCATTGCAGCACTTTATGGGCTCTATTGGGACCTTGTTGTTGACTGGGGGCTTCTGCAAAGGCAATCAAAGAACCGCTGGTTGCGAGACAAACTCCTTATCCCCAGCAAAACTCTGTATTTCGCAGCTATGGTGTTGAATGTCTTGCTAAGATTTGCCTGGTTGCAGACTGTGTTGGACTTGCAAGTCTCTTTCTTGCATAGAGAATCTTTGATTGCTCTCGTTGCAAGCTTCGAGATTATTCGTCGTGGAATCTGGAATTTCTTCAGGTAAATCTACAGAATTCTGTTTGTCTAATTACAGAAGTTTCAGCCTACGCCTTCCACATACAATCTAATGAATTATGCTGCCAATTTCCAACTAACAGTTATTTTATACTATTTTCTGTTCTTAATTGTTATATGTGCTGAATTGTCTGCAGGTTGGAGAATGAGCATTTGAACAATGTCGGTAAGTATCGTGCATTCAAAACAGTACCATTGCCGTTTACATATTATGAAGATGAAGATAAAGATGAATAGATTAAATACTACAACAATGTTTATACATGCAACCTTGAGGATTCTTGAGAAGATATAAAAAAAAAATATATCTGCGGGATGAAAGTAAAATGTTTATGTTCTTAGAAATTGAGTGATCATTTATGGGGATTGTAATTATTTGCAGAGGGCAGAAGAATGTTCCCTATTTTCCCCAATTGTTTTTTTGTATGGAATTCAAAGAATGCAACATAATTGAGATTCACATTTTATTTTCTGTTCTTCACTTTTCTTTGAACTAACATGAAGATATTGCTCTGACGGGGGCAACATAAATAATACCAAAATTACAAGATAATTATATCCTAAGCACACGAAGATATTGCAAATAAAATTAATGTTGCACTAAGCACATGATAACATTATATTTAATCAACGTTTATCAAATCTGATTGAATCCAGTTCAGTTCAATAATCCTAAGAAACCAGTCTACTTCAATACTGCTGGCTAAACGAATCCTTATTTGACAAACCACATGAAGAATGTTACACAAAGTGTAAGTGAAACTGAGGCAAATCCATAAGTCCACAGCATTACCACTGAATATTCAATCTCACCAGTACCAAACAGCTGAAATATCGTAACTGAATTTCAAAATGAAACATACCATCACTAATTAATCATAATTCTTATTACATTCACCATAAGCAAGAAGAAGTCACACACCTATGGTCATTGCCGGGGAACTGCAAACTGAAGTAGAATAAAAAACTGATAGAATGGATTTGAGTTCACCAGCCCAAAATGGATGGCGCCTTTAATTATGAACACCCCAATTATCGGTAATGCAATATGTCGAATCCCCGTGATGCCAATGGCCCAATGATCAGTGACACTCGCATGTTTGAACCTCCCCTTAAAACCTGAACAAAACCGTTAATCCTTCAGGTCACTAGTGATAAAGAACAAAGTACAGAAAGCAAAAGAACAGCAACATTTCTCTTTTATTGAATATCAAGGTTCTGGTTATACAAGAAGGATCGAAGTCCTTTTATTCTAAGTAGTAAAGCTTTAACTCTTACCTACCAACCGTGATTGACAGCTGTTTGACTATAGTTAAATAATGACTTTTACTAACTATTAACAAACTCAACTAAGCTAATTAATTGTAACGATTTAACTAAGCTAGCTAACTACTTACAATCCTCCTCAAGTTTGTGAGTGATAAAGGTTAAACACTCCCAACTTGGACAACAAATAATGGTGAGATTTATTGCTAAGTGCCTTAGTTAAGAGGTCTGCAGGTTGCTCACTGGTATGGACATAGGCATGCTTGATAAGGCCATCTTTGAGTTTCTCTCTAACCAAATGATAAATTGATAATCAATGTCAATGTGTTTAGTGCGCTCATAGAACATGGGATTGGAGGTTATATGATTAGCAAATCGATTGTCACAATAAAGAGGTACAAGAGTCAAAAGAGGAAATCCAAGTTCAGAGAATAAGTTGACAATCCATATAACTTCACAAACTGTGGATTCCATGACCCTATATTCAACTTCAGAGGAAGATTTGGATACTGTAGCTTGCCGTTTTGATTTCCAGGACAGTAGAGAATTACCTAGTAAAACACAATAACCAGTAAGAGACCTCCTGGTCATAAGGCAAGATGCCCAATTGAAGTCACTATAAGCTTGGAGCTGCACAGAATCAGTAGAGGGAAAGAATAAGCCCAATCCTGAAGCAGACTTCACATATCTAACAACTTTCAGGGCAACATTCATATGTGAGTGTTTGGGATTGTGCATGATCTGGCTCAAGAGATTGATAGAGTAACTCAAATCAGGTCGAGTCATGCAAAGATAGAGAAGTTTGCTAATTAGTTTTTGAAAAACCGTGGGATCAGATAAAGGAGAATCATTAGTAATGTTGAAAAACTGATCATAAGCTTGAGAAGTAAACTTCGTATGGTGATCCAAAGGAAAAAGAGTAGGTTTAGAATCAGAGAGGCCAGTTTCATAAGTCAGTTCAAGAGCATACTTTCTTTGTGAAATATTAATACGCTTCTTGGATTTGGTAACTTCAATGCCTAGGGAATATCTTAACAAACCCAAATCTTTAAGCTTAAAATGAGAGTGAGACAAGTGCTTGGTTTGAGCAATTAAATCCGAATGACTGCCTGTCAACACTATATCATCTATATATACAAGAAGCATCACCACTTTAGATCCAGTCTCTTGATGAAAAGAGAGTAATCTGACTTGGATTGATGAAAACCACCAGAAATTAAAGTTGAGGTCAGTTTAGAATTCCAAGCTCTAGAAGCCTGTTTTAACCTGTATAGAGATTTGTGGAGCTTGCACACCAAATTCTGGCCAGGCTGTTTGACAAATCCTTGGGGTAATGTCATATAAATTTCTTCAGTCAGATCACCTTGTAAAAAAGCATTATCCACAATCATATGGTAGAGAGGTCAATCATGCATGGATGCTAAAGCTAAAGTAGTTGTAATAGTGACCATTTTCACAACAGGGGAAAAAGTTTCTACATAGTCTATGCTAGCCTATTGTGTATAGCCCTTGGCAACTAAACATGCCTTTTATCTCTCTAATGAACCATCAACTCTATACTTCAATTTATACACCCCGTATATCTTATAGGATTCTTTCTAGGAAGCAAATTAACCAAAGACTAGGTTTTTTCCTTTCCTAAGGCTTGAATCTCCTTTTTCATGGCTTCAACCCAGTTGAGATCCTTGGTGAAAACTAACAGGTTCAGTGAGAGAATAGATTTTAGTGAGACAAGCTTGGTATTTAGATGAAAGGTGAGTATTGGATAATGAGTTTGATATAGGATATTTGACATGGTTAGCTAACGATGTGGATGTAAGAGTTGGACAGATACAATTAGAGGTCCAAATTGGAGGTTTAGAGGCTCGAGTAGGCTTTCTAATAGGTTCAAAAGATAAGATATGTTTAGGTCATGAAGCAAGATCTGATCTGTAATTGGATCAGAATGCATTCCTCTATTTTGGGGTGAATGAGATGCAATATATGAAGAATTAGGTAAGGGTTCCATTTTTTAAAATGATTTAGAGGAAAAAAATGCTCTTAGAAGATGAAGTCTAAGTAAAGGGAAAAATATGTTCATAAAATAAACATATCTGGTAACTTGAACATTATATGATTGTAAGTCATATAGCAAATACCCCTTTTGTGTTAAAGAATATCCAATGAAGGCACAAGGTGTAGATCTAGGAGAAAACTTATCTTTTGATGACAGGACAGTGGAATAAGCCAATGAGCCAAATACCCTAAGATGATCTAAAGTTGGTGGTTTGCCAAAAAAATTTTCAAATGGAGAAATACCTTGAAGAACAACAGTAGGGAACCTATTAATTAGGTATACTGTAGTCTGCACACAATAACCCCAAAAACTATGTGGGATATTTGATTGAAACTTTAGGGCTCTTGCTACTTCTAAAATGTGTCTAAGTTTCCTTTCAACAACAGAGCAAATGATTAAAAGGCCATATTGGCTTTGAATTTAACTAAAAGGCCATCTAGTTTTTAAGTCTTTATTAAATGAGCTTATTTTTTATTAAGACAAAATAATGATAATTAAACACTAATCATGACTTAATTAGGAATAATGAAGTATTGTGTAATCTTAAAAAAATTATAATATGTCTCCAAAAACCTGAAATTCTTGCAAACAAACCCAAACATAACATCTTTTTCTTCTTCCTCCTACCATTAATGCATCCCTCCCTTAGTTGTTGTTTATTCTAAGCTTCATCTACATCTTCTTCTTCCTCCTTTCTATACATTTTCTTCTTCCTGCCATTAAAACTATCTTCTTCCTCTACCATTAACATCTTCTCCATCACAGATCCTCCTCCTCCTCCTGACATTTTGTCCAGGTATGTGTATCTCCCCTTTCCATTGTATATTTTGATTTACAAAGATTTAATGATGGATTGGGTTTGAGTTATGATTTTGATTTAGTTGTTTAGATTGTTGGGTTGTGTTTGATGTAATGCAAGTTGAAAGGAGTGAAATTTGTTGAATATTTTCTTGCATTGTGAGTAGCTGGGGGTGGTAGCACCGATTATAGGTGGAGATGACTAAAAATATGTTCTGGATAGGATGGATCGCTTAAGCGATCTGGTGTATCACTTAAGCGATCTAGTATATCTGGTATAATGCATCAGATCGTAGATCGCTTAAGCGATCAGGTATATAACATAAGATCGCTTAAGCGGTCTTCTATAAGTCTGGTAGATGGTAGCAGATCACTTAAGTGATCAGGTAAATGGTAGAAGATCGCTTAAGCGATCTGCTATAAGTATATTCATGATAGCAGATCGCTTAAGCGATCAGGTAAATGACAGAAGATCGTTTAAGCAATCAGGCTTATTTATACCAGATCGTTTAAGCGATCCAGTAAGCGATACACCAGATCACTCAAGCGACTCTACAGATGCTTTTTAAAATCTTTCAACCTTTAATACATCCGTTAATAATATTTTTTTTCTTGAATTATAGGTACTTGGCTACTATTAGACGTGGGACAAGTTGTTTTGGGTGTTGAATATTTTGGTGAGTGGGTGGAGGAAGAAAGTTGATGGAAGTGGATTGGGAAAAACAAAGAAGTTATACCAATTGTTGTGAGCACAAAGATTAGTTTTGATGAGTTGATTGATGAAATTATTAGAAGAGGTGATTTGAGTTGCTCACGTAGTGATATAGTTGTGAAGTATGTTTTAAGCAGAATTCCTGAACATTATAAGTCGGATGAAGGTGTGAAGTTATATATGATTGATGTGGGCGATAATAGTTTGAGGCCGATTTTAAGAGTTTCTTTTGTAGATAAACCGTTGGAAATTAGTTCAAAAGAAGGGGATAACGAGGAAGTTGGCGGAGAGAATGTTGGTTTTAATTTGAACTACCAGGGCATTGATTTCTTAGTTGAAACATCAAGAGTATGTGGTGATTTGGGTGGACACTATGAAAGAGGTTGGTCATGTGCGGGAGAATGAAAATGTTGAGGAGGAGGACCCCATACATGTTCCCGCAGATGTAAAGATTCCTTTAAATATAGATTATGCAGAAGGTGTAGTTTGTGAGGAAGAGAACACTATGGTCCTTTATGCAGGTTCAGAGGTGGCAATTGTAGGTAGTAGTGAATCAGCTCATGTTTTTATTGATGGATCGGAGTTGTGCATAGGGTATTTATTTGACAACAAAGAGAAAAT